TGTGAAACATACGCGAGGGTTGCCGAGCTCATGGGAGGAGGTGCTTGCAAAGAATTACATAAGGGTTTTCTAGATTGTGTGCACGAGGCTGGATATGGTACCAACAAGTGTGGGGAACAAGTTGTGAAGGTGTTCAATTGTATGTGTTCTCATCCTGATTACTATAAGCTGATGGTCGCGGTGATGAAATATGTTGAAGAACATGTATTGAGGGAGCATGGTGCTTATGTTGCGAGGAAACAAGCTTTCATGGATGAATGCAGAAGATTTTTGTAGTTTTTTTTTATGGTTTCTTGATTGTTGGATTTAGGGGTTAATTGTTTCTTAGAAGCAGACGAAGTTTCAAGATCAGATCTAGTTTCTTCCCTAATTAATCCATACGTTTTCTTATGGATCTGCGATGAAATAAAAATATATTGTTGGCCAATTTAATTTGTATAAAAATATATTTAAATATAAAACGCAAAACGAATCAATTTAATTGGAAAATTAATATTAACAAAATGCTACAACACAACATATCACCCCTATGATAACATTATGAGCGAGTTAATAATGACTTAGTTCTTGTAATGATAAATACCAAATACAATCCAAAGAACAAAAATAATGACGTCTGAAATGAAAATAAAAGGGCTCTACGCAACGCCTATCACAATTCTGGCAAATTGCTCGAGTGTTATCACTGTTGCGAAGAATTGAAAAAGGTTCATTATCTACTAGGGAGGACATGGGCTTCAAGAACATTTCTCCTAGCAAACAACTAACATGAAGCATGACATTGCAATAGTCATCGCATGCATAGAACCACTCCTTGGCATCTAATTCTGCTTCACATAATTCACACCAGTATTGACCACTTGATGATTCTTTTTCCCCGTAGCAAAGAGTGAGTGGATGCTTGTCATGCTTGTAACGTGTTACACTTGGCAAAGTTGCGCATTTGAGGCCCAAAAATGACTTGCATTCCATACACTCTAGGGAATAAGGTGAACAATCACTAGACTTGCAACCCATGCATTCTCCTTCGGTGAGATTGAAGAAAAGATCATGTGGATGGCTTCCATGGATAAATGGATCAGGAAGACAAGTGCACCTGATGTCTAATTGGAAGTCGCATTGTTCTTCTTCGCTACATCTATACACGAAACCACAACATACTTGGTCACAACCATCGCATTTGAACATGTCTTTCAGATATCGCGAAGAAGATCTAGCCCCTCGATATGTCATTTGAATTTTCACGAACTTGTATTCCTTAGGAGGAATTGGATGGAGAACAAGGCGGTGTTTATGTAATGGATGGTCCTTTTTGCGAGGAAGGGATGCACATGCTTCGTGGAGAATAAAATTGCACTCCATGCAACTATAGGAACACTCCGATACTAATATCGGAAGGATGCATGCCTCACAGAACCTGTTTTCACCCCAAACGTTGTTGTCCCCGTGGAGTTTAAGATGATGCTCATGGCTGAAATGTTGTATGGTCTCGTCATCGATCCTCACAAATGAATTGAGGTCTTCATCGGCTTCTTTAGACACTCCATCAAGATCTTTACCGTCCCATACATTTTCTCCCACTGCACATTTGGAATGGACAGCATAGTGACATCCCTTTTGACAAGAGAATTGGCCGTAGCTGACATTGATTGAGTGGCGACAGACTCCGCAAGAGAATAATCCTGAAGGAAGGGAGGGAGAGAGAGATAGACGGTGAGGGTGACGGGTGATCATAATGACACGGGGTAAGTAGAAACATGTCATATGGACCATGTAGTTACAAGGAAGACAAGCGTAGACGAGATCATAGGTGTTTTCAAGAGACAAGCCACAAGCATCACATGGCGAATGGATTCGCCTAGGAAAAAGGGTGAGGATATGCTTATGGCTTTTGAAGTTTGCGATTGTGAGAGGTGGTGGGTTTCTTGTACAAGAGAGGTTTATGTTGAAGTTGCACAGAGAACAATGATAGTATACATGTTCGAGCTTCTTCTGGCAGCATTTGCATTTCACATCGTAAATAGAGGCATCATCGGATGTGTCGTGGTATATTTCGTAACCAAATGGCGCTTCTTCTTGCAATGAAAAGGATGAAAAATCAAAATCGGAAGAAGAAGAAGAATCTGAGGAGAAGGTGAGTGTGAGAGGGTGTGAAGGGTGAAAGGCATGTCTGATCTCCGGCGGGTACAAGTAGCAACCTTCGTGGAAACTAACCTTGCAAGTAAGGCAGCGATAAAACCTTGAATCAGCATCCGAGCTAGAGTCTCCACATGCGAAGCATTTTTTAAATCTCCCAGTTCTCTTCTCGAGGGTGTGAGGCTTAGTCAAATCCGAGAGACGACATAAGGGTTTAAAATAACACACCGGGTGAATATAGGAATTGCATGTATCACAGTAGAGAGGAAACCCACCAAACTGATTTTCTCCATCGCAGATGACGCACTCAGACGTCGGATAGCCATCTTTATTAGAAAGGAAGTGCGGCTGAGCTGGATCCGACTTGAAGCACACAAGTCTAGCACGAGAACTAAACTTCGAAACATCGTCCATATTCATTTCTTTCTTTTGAAATATGAGAGAATGTGAAAATGTCTGAGGCTCAGTCGTCTTTTTATTTGTTGATTAATGAAAGAAACACAAACTTGTCTTTCTATTTTATCTTTTACATAAATCAAAGACCAATGGACAAAAAGATTCTTTAATTAATCAAATTCAGACAAGATGCGGTGCAGTCGGCAACTACAATAAATGCATCTGTACACTCCCCATGTTTATGTAAAATTTTGTGAATAATCTTTTAAGTTTCTGTTAAATAATTGCGTTTTTTTTTATATGGTGAAAAGTCAACTCTATTTTTAAGTTTTTTATATATTCCCACGATACCAATCTTGCTCTAGGTGAGAGTTTCATGTTTTTAAAAGACCAACAAATTGTTTGTTGACGTTAATCAACAACTAGCAACCACGCTATTTTCATATTTATATTACAGTCTTTAATTTCTTTGGTTAATCAATTGGTGGGGAGTTGAGGTGCAATCGTCAACCACATAACATAAATGTTACTATCATCAAATGATTTTTTTTTTTGGGTATATTGTTATCGTTTTTCTTTCATCATTTTATGGAAATGAATGTTATATTATTATTATGTTTCAAACACAACAAACCAGATATTTTCACCAAGTGCAGTATTATTTTTGAAAAGATTATAGAAAAGAAACAAGAAGCTGTTTGGATGTCTAAGATCCGGTAGCAAACTAACTAACCCCAAGTCATCGTTTTTTCTTTCAACAAACCTATTTCATTTCTACAATCAAACATGTGATGTAACCTACATCGACAGTAAACCAAGTCAACACAAAAAAATGCTTACAAATGAGGCCTACATACCATTAAACAATACAAAAATGTTTGTGCCGACTACTTTACAAAAGAATTCAAGAACGTGGTATATCCTTTTTCTCATGTACAAGTAAAAAAAAAATCGGTATGGTTTTGCCTTGAGGACAATCATCCCACCGGTCAAACTTGAATTAATATATGAAGTTTGTTGACCAAAAKAAAAAAAAATCAGGAAACGCAAATTTTACAAGCCTTTGAGATTACAAAATACATTTGTGTCATATTTCTTTTGAATTGTCTGTCAATGGTTTTTGTGCTCTTGTTTCTTCACAGATGGTTTATAAACCAACCTGAAGAACACAATCTAGTGTGTGCTAAAACTAAAACCTTATAATCTCATGAACACACGATCATACATGTACAATGGAGATTATGGAACTTGTTTCAAAGCAAATAACTCCTTCCATTTAGGTTTGGGAAAATTCCTTAAAAATTCCCCAACTTAATTATATAGGCTGGAAAAATATCCCAATTTTTTCTGTTACCCGATTAATATCCAGATTATATAACGTTGGTTTT